CCCCCCCCATCCCACTTCGCTACGCCTATGAATTCAGACATTTCCTTTTTATATTTCCTCTACCAATAGCAATGATAATGGAACAATTTTTATATAGCGCATTATATAAATATAAAATGTAAAATGTCTCAACTCGCCTAGGAAAAATTTAGAAAGAAGTGATACAACAGCTTGATTGAAAAGCTGCAAGTAAATTACTTTAACCAGGCGCGTGCGCAGGGTGGGGGGGGGGGGGGTTAAATCCCCCTCCTCCTCTCCCTTTTTTTGACCATCTTTGTCAAATTTGTATTCACTTATTCACCGGCTGGCTGAGTCGTTGCAAAAAATTTCCTCAAAAAACCCTAGCCCCCGCTGCGTACAGTCATGATTCACTAATAATTAAGACAAGGATTAAGAGTCGAAAGCAGTACAACGAATCTTCTTCTTTCTCTCTAATAATTTAATGAAACATGAAAGAGTGGGGGGGGGGGGGGGGAGGGGACTAAATTCAGACTAGGACACGATACAACGAATCGTCTTTTTTCTGTAATAATTTAATGAAACGTGGAAAAATGACACAATACTTCTGGTCAAAGACGGTAGTGTGATGAATAGACCGTTTTCGTAATGTAACCAAATTGAATGCATAAAAGTGAAGGGCCAAAGTAAAAATCATGATTTTGGGGCGATATTTTTCGAAATATCGAATTTAATCAAAAAACGCTATTTTCCAAAATATATATATCAACATTGGAGAAGTGCCTTTTTTTTTTTACTTTTCTGGAATTGTCCATGTACAAGGACAATATCATGTGCGAAGGAGAGGCTTATATCTCTTTTCAGCGAAATGTTAAAGCAACCCAAAGTTATTTAATTTGATTTCCACAAAAAAATATTTTTGCCGCATTTTGTATCGCTGACGACGGCTAGAATGTTCTGATATGCCAAAACTCGAGCGCTTCCGGGGGCTCGGACTCCTGGATCCCTGGCTGGGGCACTGTCCCTGCAAGGCTGCAACCCACCAGGGGCCCTTAGGCGTATCCCATGGACCACATTAGAAAAGATAGAAGTGGTTCCCAAGACAACCTTTTGTTTTATATAGTTGGAGAGAGTGACAGTCCCGTTGACCTATTATTTTTTTACACCATTTCTTTCTGTCTGCTTCCTCGAGATCACTTGAGCGAAGAAAGATAACAATGTATAGCTAGAATCCCTATTCAGTAAATGATTTCTATTTGTTATTGCAGATGATTCTTCTACCATTCTTGACCAGAAGTGCGTTTCAAGCGGGCATCATCCCATTGGATGTTGCCAGGCGCGGATCCAGGATTTCTTAGGGGTGGGGGCCAAAATTTGAAATCAATTTGAAATTTAGTGTGCTGAAATTTGAAAATCGTGCCGGCCAATATTCCAGGGGTCCAGGGGGCGAAGCCCCGGAAGCTCAGGGGGTTTTGGGCAATAAATAACGGTCAGATGAGCATATTTTTATACCTTATTTGGCAGGACACAATTTGGTGTTGGGTCCAGGGGCGGAGCCCCCAGAAGCTCAGGGGTTTTATACATTCAATTATCGTCAGATGAGCATAATTTTCTACGTTATTTATGACACTGGCAGGTCACGAATTGGTGTGGGGTCCAGGGGGCGGAGCCCCCGGAAGCTCAGGGGTTTTATACATTCAATTATCGTCAGATGAGCATAATTTTCTACGTTATTTATGACACTGGCAGGTCACGAATTGGTGTGGGGTCCAGGGGGCGGAGCCCCCGGAAGCTCAGGGGTTTTGGGCAATAAATAACGGTCAGATGAGCATAGTTTTATACATTATTTGTGAAACTGGCAGGACACAATTTGGTGTTTGGTCCAGCAGGGGTTTTATACATTCAATTATCGTCAGATGAGCATAATTTTCTACGTTATTTATGACACTGGCAGGTCACGAATTGTTGTGGGGTCAAGGGGGCGGAGGCCCCGGAAGCTCAGGGGTTTTATACATTAAATTATCGTCAGATAAGTATAATTTTCTACGAATTGGTGTGGGGTTCCAGGGGGTGGAGCCCTCGGAAGCTCAATGGGTTTGGACAATAAATTTTGGGCAATAAATTACTGTCAGATGAGCATGATTTTATACCTTATTCAGGGGTTGTTAGGCAACAGATGAGTTTCCAGGGGCCCGCCTTAGGACCATTGGTTGGGTTAGGTGGGCAGAGCCCCGGAAGCTCATGGCTTTAGGCATTTAATTACGTCAGATGAGCATAAATATACCTCATTTGTGACACTGGCAGGACACTAATTGGCGTGAGGTCCAGGGGCCGAGACCCCAGAAGCTCAGGGGTTTTAAGCATTAAATTACCGTCAGATTAGAATTCAGCTGTCCGCCTTAGGGCCCTAGGTGGGGTCTAGAGGCATTTGATTACGGTCAGATGAGCATATTTTGATACCTTTGATATCTTTCCCCTTTTATTTCTTTCTTTTTTTTCCCCTTTTTTTCCCCTTCTTTTTGTGTCCTTGTCGTTCTTGTTGAACCCCCCCTTGATATTTTTCTGTGTGTAAAAATAATTAAATAAATAAAAAAATAAAAAAAATTATGCCCATGGCTGACCTAAAAAAGGTGACCTTACCCCCCCCCCCCCCCAAACGAAGAAAAATGTCCTCTTACCCCCCCCCCCCGCTTATTCAGCGGCTGGCTGAGTCGTTGCGAAATTTTCTGCCCGATTTCAAAATTTTAACCCCCCCCCCCCTCTTGAAGCGTGGCCAGATACAAAGTATGCTTACAATACTGGGGGCATTGATGTAGGTAGAAATAACAGGATTAAGATACCATGCAACGCTTCGAAATGTAAAAGAAGAATAAGAAAAATAAAGTTGAGATTCGACCTTTAAGTTTAGACATTGCTTAATGCATTTCGTATAGGTATTATCTTCCATCTCAGAGTGATTATAGACGTTATTTTTAAGGATAATACAGCTAAAGCTGTCCAGGTCTTTGAATATAATGCTTCAAAACCAACCGGTCAAGCTTTTTATTTCTTTATTTAGGGTCTGTTTCTACGGTTTATTCTATTTTCATGGTCGACCCTCGAAAACGAATTTATTATGTATTTCACGGAGGATGCTCAAAACCAGCGCTCAAAATACACGGGGCGATGGGCGATTCGCCACCCGTGAGCTACATAATCGCCCCCGTCAGGTTGCTCACGGGGGCGATTGCAAAATTAAAAATCGCCCCCGTGGAATTATAAAATAAAGATTATCTTTTCTAATCTATTTTATTTTTTTCAGGGGGGGGGGAGAGATGAAGCCCCGTTTTAGCATGACTTTCTTTTAACTCTTACTTTCATCTATCTCGAATAACCCTAAGTTTTTGGTTGCTGCTTTATATGTGGTTGATAATGCATGATTAAAATAAAGAGAGAGAGAGAGAGAGAGAGAGAACCACCATCATTTTGCAATGGTTCAGGGTTCGTGTAATGTACATTTGAAACCATTTCTTAGCGTCTCAACGCTAACAAAATAGAGAAACTATTTTTGAGGAAAAGCATTATACTGAACTGAATAAAGAATAATAGCTTTATATTGGATCATACTCATACTAATACGGGCTAAAGACAATGTGGTATTTGTAAAGAGGTATTTCAAAATGACATTCTGATAATCAACATTTTGTTCTGGTATCATATATATATATATATATATACGCATAATACAACTGATCGTTAGGATTTCTTAACGTGACATAGCTTCTTCTCCCCCTGCAAACAAAAAAGAAAACAAGGTTATTTAATAAAAGGATCATGCGACAAATAATCATTGTGATTCAAATTGATGCAAGGGTTTTTTTTTAATAAGCAATGCTTTTCACCAGAATCTTCTTTGTAAAAAACGACTTTTACAAATCTCAGCCATGCAAATCTGCCACTGTGTTGTAAGATCACTTTCAGATTAGGAGAAGTGTATTCTTTAATGAGTATTTTACATTGAATGGAACGTCTCAACTCAGTAAGTGGCTGAGATTTGTAAAAGTTGCTTTTACAAAGAAGATTCGAGTGAATAGCAGTGCTTATTCAAACAAATATTCGCATCAATTTGAATCACAATTTTGTCGCTTAATCCCTTTTAATGACCTTGTTTTCTTTCTCGTTTGCAAGGGGAGAAGAAGATATGTCACGTTAAAGACATCATAAAGATCAGCGTTGTATGCGTATATATTATATACACAAGCCCCGTGGAACGTTTATCAAAGTGGGGGGCTTAAGTATTTACGATCAGGTAGAAGGTAGCGAGCGTAAATTGGTTTCGGGGGGGGGGGGTTCAGGGGTTTTAGGCATTTAATTATGGTCAGAAGAAGCACAAATATTTTGATGCCGCATTTGTGTCACTGGCAGGTCAGGGGAGGGGGGCGTTTTTTATTTAATTTTTTAAGGTAAAATTTACGTTACTATCTTACTTTTTTTTACCGGTTTGGGAGGCTAGGGGGGGGGGGGGGGCGGTAGAATCGGCCCGTGGATCCGCACCTGTCCAAAATAGCACACACACAAAATCGCGTCGCCGCTACGCGGCTCAGTAAAGAAAGAATGTAAAAGGTTGCTCCGAATAATGAGGAGGAAATAATGTGCAGAACGTCGCGTCTGCCTTAGTATTTGTCAACAAGCTACAGCCGCCGCAGGGACGCCCTAAGGTGACCGTGCGTCATCACTTCAAAGGCCGTACGGCAGTCGCAGATTTTTTGTCTCAACAATTTTTCAACAAGCTACGGCCGCCGCAGGGACGCCCTAAGGCGACCGTGCGTCATCACTTCAAAGGCCGTACGGCAGTCGCAGATTTTTTGTCTCAACAAATTCAAAATACGCCGCGCGGCTACCCTAACATAATATATGACCGCTACCGCATGTGACCGTGGGAATGCTGCGGCGGTCCTATATTGCTATTGATCGTAGATATTTTAGACCGCACGGCCGCCGCGGCAAATGTGACCTAGGCATAAACATTGAAGGACGAACGCACGCACACATTTTACGAACTCGCTTATTGTTATCTCATACTTACACGAGTGCTCCAGTCGATAACCTAGTCAATACACTTTCTTGTTCGCCGGGGATGTGATGTTCGATCGTTATTGTTATTGTCAGCTAATTCTATAGTAGGCCAAAATTTTGTTTCGACCGCACATTGGTTGAACGGACATGTATTGAGGACCTATATACAGGACAAATAGTGCTAAGTTGAAAGCTGTGTTTTAACCCAAAGGTAGCGAAATCGCCGAGACGAAAAACCAGAGGCTAACATATGTGTTCAGTAAACGTTTGTCATCTCAAAGGGTAAGAGCAACTAAAGTATTGATTAAACAGTAGCGACTGAGTTTACACTTAGTTAATAGGGATTTTTTAAAGTAAAAAAATACATCGTCAGCTTTACTATAGTACACCAGCTAAACTAGCTGCTCGTTTGATGACAATCAAAATTTGAGCCATTGGAAGTGACAGTCGAATATAAAAAATGGCCGGTGCCATGGAAATGGAATGTTAAAGAAGTTGATATCTGTGAACCCAAAATGAAATGTAACTAATCAATACAAAATATTTAAAAAACAGAATATAAACAATATAAAATGATGTTATTTGCCATAAAGTCGTTGACGGATGTTACCTCCTTTTTTTGAGAAATGAAACATATTTGTAATTGAACAACATAAAAACACATATGTAAATTGAGCTTTCAGTTGAATTGCAATCTAATCTGAGCCATTTAAGGTCACGATAAGGTAGGAAAATAGTGTTAGTACATTGAAAAGTTATATGAAAATAAATTATATCACTTAAAGGTAATACAAGTTTGAGTATGGGGTCATGAATTTGGTTCAAATTAACATATTGGAAGCATATGCGATCCTATAATATTCAGTGATCGTTGTCGGGTTGAAATCGAGTCTAAAGTTATGAAATTGTAAATAATAAACTCTTTATGTTGTATAACTCCCTCTCAAGGTCAAGATATTAATGAAGCTATAAATCAATGTTTCTTGACTAAAATAGGCCGATTAGCTATTCCCGTTTGGAAATTATATATCACAACTACATATGCTGAGATGTTCATGGTCGCAGCTACCATTGTACGGCCGTAGGCGCTATTTGAAATTTATCAAAATTTACCGGGAGCACCGGTAAATTTTTATATTCAATTTTTCTCGAAAGCAGAAGTGTTTTAGGGGCTAAATTTTCTAGTGCTTATAATAAATCCACAGGGGCATCCAAATATATCAAAATTGTAAAGAATCACTGCGTGAATAACTAGGATATGCTAACATTTGAAGACTTGTACTCAGGGCTCAAATTAATTTTTTGTCCACGGGGGCTCTTCCCCCGAAAAAAGAGCCCCCGTGAGCCTTCTCACGGGGGCTCTTTTATTACTGACGGGGGCTCTTTTTTATAAAAATGTCCATTGAATTGGTACCTATGATACTCCTCAATTATTTGCTATTTCATCATTATCATTTCAATCAGCATTTTCCCTCTTACAAATTTACAAGCTACATAAATAGCTGTTACTGGCCTGTGTATATAATATATACGCATACAACACTGATCTTTATGATGTCTTTAACGTGACATATCTTCTTCTCCCCTTGCAAACGAAAAAGAAAACATGTTCATTAAAAGGGATTAAGCGACAAATAATGATTGTGATTCAAATCGATGCGAATATTTGTTTGAATAAGCACTGCTATTCACCCGAATCTTCTTTGTAAAAATAACTTTTACAAATCTCAGCCATGCTTACTGAGTTGAGACGTTCCATTCAATTTGAAATACCCATTACATAATACACTTCTCCTAATCTCAAAGTGATCTTACAGCACAGTGGCTGAGATTTGTAAAAGTCGTTTTTATCCTTGCATCAATTTGAATCACAATGATTATTTGTCGCATGGTCCTTTTATTAAATAACCTTGTTTTCTGTTTTGTTTGCAGAGGGAGAAGAAGCTATGTCACGTTAAGAAATCATAAAGATCAGTTGTACTATGCGTATATACATTATGATACCAGAACAAATCGTCGCTGTTTTCACGAAGTGACGGTAGTGAAAAAAAATTGCATTCACTTTGCGTGACGATTTTACTAACTACCGTCACTTCGTGAAAACAAGGACGAAATGTTGATTATCAGAACTGGCCTGTGTATATAATATATACGCATACAACACTGATCTTTATGATGTCTTTAACGTGACATATCTTCTTCTCCCCTTGCAAACGAAAAAGAAAACATGGTCATTAAAAGGGATTAAGCGACAAATAATGATTGTGATTCAAATTGATGCGAATATTTGTTTGAATAAGCACTGCTATTCACCCGAATCTTCTTTGTAAAAACAACTTTTACAAATCTCAGCCATGCTTATGCCTAGGTCACATATAAACCGGGCCCCGTACGATTTTCCCTACCCGGCGGCGAATTTTTTTTCCGTACTCGAGAGAGCAAAAATCCCATGTGCGCATGCGCGTGGACTTATGATTTCTCTGCTACTTCCCATACGAAATGTACATGTATTCGCATGTACTGTGCACGATTCGCGTTCTACGAGTAAACGATGGCATAGTAGTCTTCAAACACAGACTCTGATTTGCCAGTTTGACAAATCAATATGCGTATGTGTCGCGATGTGCTTATTCAAGTCTGTGTAGTTGTATGATTCAGACCCAGTAGTGCATATGGAAATACATTGCAACTTGTATAGAATGGTATAGTAGTCTGCAAGCACAGACGCTAATCTGACAGTTTGACAACATACTAGTAGTGTGCTGAGAAGTACTTTATTCAAGTCTGCGTAGATGTATGATTCAGACCCTACTGGTGCGTGCGTTAGAAATGCATCTCAATGTGTAGAGTGTAGTATAGTAGTCTGCAAGGACATAATAATATATTGTGTATTGATGAGTAGTGATTTTATGCAAGTTTGTGTAGTTTAATGATTCCAGACCCCATGGTAGGCCTATGTATTGTGCCACTGCTCTCTCACACTCTTTCTCTCTCTCTCTCTCTCTCTCTCCATATCTCTCTCTCTTAGTAGTCAGTTTGACACTATTTTGTCAAACTGTCAGATTAGCGTCTGTGCTTGCAGACTACTATGCCACTCTGCAAGTTGAGATGCCTTTCCAATACACGCACCAGTAGGGTCTGAATCATAAAACTACACATATTTGAATATAAAGCACTACTCAAGACACTATGTTGTCAAACTGTCCGATTAGCGTCTGTGCTTGCAGACTACTATACCATGCTATTCAATTTGGGATGCATTTCTGTAAGCACTAAAATGTCTGAATCATACAACTACTCAGACTTGAATACTAGTACTATTGCTACGCACGATATATGCGTAATTGTTTTGTCAAACTGGCAAATCAGAGTCTGTGTTTGAAGACTACTATGCCATCGTTTTACTCGTAGAACGCGAATCGTGCACAGTAGATGCGAATACATGTACATTTCGTATGGGAAGTAGCAGAGAAATCACAAGTCCACGCGCATGCGCACATGGGGTATTTGCCCTCTCGAGTACGGAAAAAAAATTCGCTACCCGGCGGCTTGCCGTGGATTTAGAGACCGTACGGGAACCGTCCGATTGTCATTTCTACGGCATGTGTGGTCACATATTCTGCGGCGCCCGGGAGGTGCCCGGGGAAAATTGGTCAAGTGAAATGCACGGCGCCCGTAAGGGTGCCGGCAGGGTGCCGGCCGAGTGCCTGCCGGTTACCTTACGGGTTCCGTCCGATGATCAGGTGAACCGATGGCTCCCGGAAGGTGCCCTGTCGGAGCCCGGCCGGGTGCCGTGCGGTGCACTGAAGTACAGAGTGAGTCAGAAAAAATGTCCCACTTTTTAAAAGTTGTATTGTTTGAAGTATGAATATTTAATCATGGGTTTCATGATATATCGTGATAGAGTTATTAAGACATGTCATGAAACTCATGATTAAATATTCATCCTTTTTTTTTTAAAGGTTTTATTTCCACATTAACTGCATATGAAAGGAATTTACAAAGTGAGGCATATAAAAGGTAACAAAAACATGTACATAATATTCGATACAACAGTAATAAACAAAAAAATAATGGCAAGTCATTAAATACAAATGATGCTAACATAATCCGCAGTAATGAGGAGGAAACCTTTGAAGCATTATGCTTGTAATTAAGGTTCCCTTTACATAATACGTTTGTTACATAATATATAAAAACAAAAAACAAATCAAAAGAACAAAAACGGGTTTGTGGTGCAGCCAGCTCACAAGTGTTGATAATACCGATGGTCTCTATCATGATGACCTTAAGCATTTTCATACTTCAAACAATACAACTTTTAAAAAGTGAGACTTTTTTCTGACTCACTCTGTAAGTGTCCTCTGGTATGCCGCCGTGAGGGACCCGCACGGGCAATATTAATTTTAAATATCCCCCGGACGGCAGACGCCTGTTGTTGTGCATATCACCCGGGGCTCTTGAGGGGCCCGTGAGGACGCCGTAGGGTACACCTACGGAACCCTTGAGCACCGCAAGGCGCCCGTAAAGATTTTCATGGGAAATTGACCCCCAAAATCGTGAGGGGCCCGTCCGGGCACCGTCCGGAGCCCACAAGGGACCCTTAAAGTGCCCTACGGGCCCTGTACGGGCTTTCTACGGCCTAACGGTCAGATAAAAACGCCGGGAGAATTGGGAGCAGCCAACTCAGCACCACGGCGCCCGTACGGCTTAAAAAACCGTCCCGGCGCCCGTAGGAACTTTACGGCAACCGGCCGGACACCGGCCGAAAATTCCCAAAATGTCTGTTTTTACTCGCCGTACGGGCCCCGGAGTGTATATGTGAAAGCCCCATAACTGAGTTGAGACGTTTCATTCAATTTAAAATACCCATCACATAATACACTTCTCCTAATCTCTAAGTGATCTTACAGCACAATGGCAGAATTGCATGGCTGAGATTTGTAAAAGTTGTTCTTACAAAGAAGATTCTGGTGAAAAGCATTGCTTATTAAAAAAAATCCTTGCAATTTGAATCACAATGATTATTTGTCGCATGATCCTTTTATTAAATAACCTTGTTTTCTGTTTTGTTTGCAGAGGGAGAAGAAGCTATGTCACGTTAAGAAATCATAAAGATCAGTTGTATTATGCGTATATATATGATACCAGAACAAATTGTTGATTATCAGAATGTCATTTTGAAATACCTCTATACAAATACCACATTGTCTTTAGCCCGTATCAGTATTAGTATGATCCAATATAAAGCTATTATTCTTTATTTAATTCAGTATAATGCTTTTCCTCAAAAATAGTTTTGCTATTTTTTTAGGGTTGAGACGCTAAGAAATGGTATCAAATGTACATTACACGAACCCTGAACCATTGCAAAATGATGGTGGTTCTCTCTCTCTCTCTCTCTTTATTTTAATCATGCATTATCAACTACATATAAAGCAGCAACCAAAAACTTAGGGTTATCTGAGATAGGTGAAAGTAAGAGTTAAAAAGAAAGTCATGCTAAAACGGCGCTTCACTTCCCCCCGCCCCCTGAAAAAATAAAATAGATTAGTAGTCCTCCTCTCCAGAATCCCCTCCCCCCCCGCTTTAATATCACATTTTCACTTGGCAGCCCAAGGGGGCCGGGGGGGGGGGTGGGAGGAGGGGGTTAAACCCCCTACCCCCCCCCCCCCCCCCCCCGCCGTAGATCTGCCCATGTTACCATATCATTCCACGACATTTTGGTCTTCCTCTTCTCCTCAAAAGGGACTTTTAGATTTGCGTGGACGTGGACGTATTACGCCCTTTTAAGGCACTGGCAATCACATGTGACGTCCTGGCAGTGCCTTAAAAGGAGGTCACACGTTGCAGTCCACGTTCTCATCGTGCAAATCTAAAAGTCCCTAATATTGATTTACTGGTCGAGGTTCATTATTTGCTGACAACAAAAGACTTCTCCAGGCCATGACCATGTTTCTGCCCTTGCCCGATCGCCTCCAGCTCCAGCAGACATGGCACGGCAGCGTGCACACGCACCGCTACTAACGGCGCAGTAGGCCTATAACCACTGCTGACGGCGGCACTGCACTGCGAGCTGAATCGGTAATAATAGGCCTAGTCTACTCATAAAACGAGAAACCTTGCACGCTAATCTTAGTTCCATTTCATTGGTTTAAGGTTTGAAAATTGAAACTCAATATTGTGTTGAAGTTATAACAGAAAAGATTATCTTTATTTTATAATTCAATCGGGGCGATTTTTAATTTTGCAATCGCCCCCGTGAGCAACCTGACGGGGGCGATTTTGTAGCTCACGGGGGCGAATCGCCCACCGCCCCCGTGTATTTTGAGCGCTGCTTGTACTAGTTTTAAAGGTAATACAAAGTTTTGGGAAATTTGAAAATTTGATACCAAATTTTCCAATTTCCCAAAACTTTGTATTTCCTTTAAAACTAGTACAAGTCTTCAAAGGTTAGCATATCCTAGGTATTCACGCAGTGTAATCACAAAAAGAATTTAAAAGTAATTTGAAATTCAAATTAGGTACCGAGTCCTCATAAAAGGCCTGTGTCTTGCCTGGTATTCATCTTTTCCTGGTGTGCTGGCATAGGCGGATAGACGTATATATCTATGTTCTACACGCGTATCCGGACACCTACCCCCTGGACATCCACCCCGGATAACCACCCCCAGTCAACTACCCCCTAGGACAACCACCCCCTAGGACAACCACCTCTAGGACAACAACCCCCTATAGGGCAAACACCCTCTAGGACAACTACCCCCGGGATAACTACCCCCGGACAACTACCCTTAGGACAACTACCCCCGGACAACTACCCCCTAGGGTAGTTGTCCTAGAGGATGGTTTTCATTTTAATCGAATCATGAGTAATGTAAATTTATTGTTTCTTTGCAGCATGTTTGTTACGACAAACACAACAATGACAACGTAAATCTGAATATTATATCCACTTATGTAAATTATTTAATGGGATGGCAATGTACATTTGCAGATATATACCTGTTCATTTCACTTTATGTAAAAACACATTTTATTTTTTACGTAAAAGCTTTCGATTTCAAAATGACATCGACAATAATGTGCAGCAGATTTATTTCGTAGGATGCAAAAAGATTTCCAATTTTTCCCAGCCAATGGCTTCGCTCAAATATTTTAAACGTCAATGAAAATGAAATGTTAAGCAAATTTTGGCAAATTTGGCATTTTATGCGTCAAGATTGGAGAAACAGTTTCCATTATCAGATATGCCCCAAAATCCAGAGCAAGACACCATTTCCCATTGCTCCAATCACGCAAATTCAGAGATTACATCGATGAAACGTATCGGGTTTTTTTTTTTTTTTTTACTTGAGGCGACTTTATCTTCTCTACAAGTGTGAAATAATGAAAACCTATTGAGAAAGTGATCTACATTTCATTAATTCCCAAGAGAGATCAACACGCGTATTACCAAATATGTTTGAATGAGTAATATGAGCGTGGAAGTCAACACTGAATTACCATTTGCAAGGGGAAAACCAAGGACAAGTGATTAGAAATAAATGCTGTTCTGTCACCCAGAAAAATTATTTTTTCGGAAAAATAAATGTTGTTTTCCTTCTCCTTCCTTCATGACCTTTTCATTTGGAAGGATGATACCAGGCGAGACTCCGGCCTTTTATAAGGGCTCAGTAGTCAGTACCTAATTTAAATTTGAAATTACTTTGAAATTCTTAGTGTGTGATTTCAATTCCTGAACACCTGGGATATGCTTACCTCTTTGACTAGCGAGTAACATTATTAGATAGAATTCTAATTATACTTCATTTAAACAATATATATATATATATATATATATATTTAAGGAATTTTGTGAAAACATGAATACTAATGTAACTAATTAACATCTGTGTACAAGAATTTCCAACTACCTACTCGATTTAATCGAGACAATAGAAAGGGTTATCAATTATAGTATCTCGTAACATACTTGATTTGTTACCATGGTAACGGCACAGCGGTCAGCTATCATCCCCTGTGCTTTATGGCAAACAGGCAGATTTTGATACCCGAGGGTCTTAGCAAGAAATTAATCATTTACAATTATGCAAACTGTCAATTAACACTTTTTCTTTAGGGCAAATTCCATGAAAATTGGAAAACGCCTATTTCAATATTTACAGTTAAGCATTTAGGCCGAAATTTTTTTTTAAAATTTAAATCAAATCGGGCCTATTTTGTATGTATTTTAGTGAGGACAGGGTAAATGTGACTATAGATTGCCCAAATATGTTTTGGGGCAAGTCTCATGAAAATTGGAAATACATGTAACTTAAAAGAGTTAGTTCAGCAATTTTTGGCTTGAAAAAATTGGCCCATTTCGATGTATTCCACGTTATCTTAACCAGGGCAAGGTACAAGTGACCCTAGTTCATTGGAAAAGTGTTCTGGAGCAAATTCCATCAGAATTGGATAAACCCCAAGCAATTAAGACAAACCCTGACGGCATGGGTGTCGATCCCGGGGGGATGGGGGGGGGGGGGATATATCCCCCCAATATTTCAGGTGGGGGGGGGGGGGATGGCCTGTACAATCATCCCCCCAATAATTCACCATAAAAAAATTTTTAAAAAAAATGAAGAGAAAAATTAAGGATGAGAGCCCGATGAGAGTAGTTAATGGTTATTACTCGCAAGATGACCATCAATATGCACATTTTGCTATCTCTTTTTATACGAAGTAAATAAGACAACCGTATATGAGACAAGAATAGATTGTATTCTCGCTCATAGTTATTACGGTTTCATCAGTAATTGATGAATTTATTCAATTTGTTCAATCAACAGCATCATAGAAATGCAGTGCGCGGTAGGAGAGAAACAGAATTCATGAAGGACACGATACAACAAATCGTCTTCTTTCTCTAATGTGAAAACTTCCGCGCTTCGCGCAGGAATGGGCGAAAATGAATTCAGACAAGGATTAAGAAACGAGAATGGTACATAGGATCGTCTTCTTTCTTTAATAATCTAATGAAACGTCAGAAGGGGAAGGGGAACTTGATTCAAACATTAAGGATTAAGAGTCGATAATGGTACATCGAATCGTCTTCTTTCTATAATAATCTGATGTAACGTCAGAGCTTCCGCGCTATGCGCGGAGGAAGGGGAACTTTGATTCAAGCAACGATTAAGAGTTGAGAATGGTACATCGAATCGTCTTCTTTCTTTAATCATCTAATGAAACATCAGAGCTTCCGCGCTACGCGCGGGGAAGGGGGAATTTGATTCAAACATTAAGGGTTAAGAGTCGACAATGGTACATCGAATCGTCTTCTTTCTTTAATAATCTGATGAAACGTCAGAGCATCCGCGCTACGCGCGGAGGAAGGGGAACTTGATTCAAACAAGGATTAAGAGTCGAGAATGGTACATAGGATCGTCTTCTTTCTTTAATCATCTAATGAAACATCAGAGCTTCCGCGCTTCGCGGGGGGGGGGGGGGGACTCCCCCTCCCTGCACGCAACCCCCTAGGCACCGCGCTTCGCGTGCTCACTACCGCCCCCTAAAATGAAATCCTGGCTACGCGCTTGGGGGGGGGTGCAACTTGCCACACGCTTCTACCTCTTGATTGCTTTGATCCATTGCCGAAAATATTTTGGCACCTATCATCCCCCAACCACGGATACAAATCGACACCCTTGCCTGACGGGTCCAGCATTTTCAGCATTCTGTGCTGGAAATTGAAAAAATTTTATTCGGTCCTTATTTGCATACATTTTTAGTTAAAATGCAGGGTGATTGTGACCCCGGTTTGTTGAAAGAGTATTTTGCGGCAATTTAATAAATTTAGAAAGACGCCAATTTTGATTAAAAAATTGAAAAGTTTTATTCTGATCTATTTTCATAGAGGCTGCAAACTTCAGTAAAGAAGAACAGACGGCAAGTGGTGGAGAAAGCAAGGTAAATTCAACTGTGTGTGAACGGATTTACCCATCCAAAAAAATGTTTCTTGCGAGTAAGGTGAGGCGCATCAGCAGTCGATTATCCTTGGGGTCACCATGGACATCTATTTTCTGGATAGGCCTTACAATTGTTTTGCTCTTTATCATCCAGTACCAAGTGTATCAGAGATGGATACACGCAGGGATACACGACACAGCTGCCAACTCAGAACCAGATCCAGCAGACACAAGTTCAGCTGACAATAACATATCTGTTTTACGCAATCCAGACAAAACTGCTATGTTTGCTTCCGTGAGAACTGACGTGGTGGGTTTAGAGAAACCAGGGAGTTGGAATGGACCAAACATTTCGGACCCATCGGTTGCAGCAAAGAAGCTCTTTGTTGAGGGGAAATGGGATTCATCCTTTGTTTCTCCCTATCATAAGCACTATTCTTCCATTAACTGCGCAGCAATTTTACGAGGAGAACGTCAGTCCATTAATATGGCCACCAAGGTCTTGAATGAAAATCGTGGACAGATACCCAGTGACTATGACGTCAAGAACTGGACCAGTGACTGTGAGCGATATCGGAGTCTGCGAAAGTATCCGACATTGCCGAGGTCAAAGGAGGAGGCAGAGTTTCCAATCGGGTACATCATAGTCACGCACTCGGAGTTGTCACAACTTGAGCGATTGCTCCGTGCAGTGTACCAACCACAGAATGTATACTGCATCCATCCAGACGCCAAATCACCTGCATTATTTCAGGTTGCTGTTCGATCGCTGGCCGAATGCTTGCCAAATGTTTTCATAGCCTCCAAGCCTGTCAGAGTGAACTATGCACATTCTAGTCGTCTTCAAGCAGATGTCAACTGCATGTCAGATCTCCTATTGCGGCCAGAACCCTGGAACTACGTCTTGAACCTCTGCGCCCAGGACTTCCCGCTTAAAACCAATCTGGAGATCATCCACCAGTTGAAGGCTTTCCAAGGACATAATGACATTCCTGGTGTCATAGCACCAGACTGGTTTGATCATCGGACACGTGTGCACCATGAATTCCGCAACAATATGATGATAAAGATGAAGGATGTCAACAAGCCGCCTCCTCCACAGGACTTCAAGTTCTTCTTCGGCAATGCCTACTATGCTGCCAACCGGCAATTTGCCCACTTTGTCATTCACAACCAGACAGCCATTGACTTGCTGAACTACAGTGAAGATACTTTCAGTCCTGACGAGCACTACTGGGTGACCCTCCACAGGATTCCGGGGGTTCCCGGAGGCTACACAAATTCAACTTGGAACAGCACCGTTAGGTTTATCCACTGGCAGAACACTTTCAAGACGCCAGAGTGTGTCGGCAGATACGTCAGGAACATCTGCATCTTCGGAGCTGGATACTTACAGCATCTGGCCATCGCTCCTCACCTCTTTGCCAACAAGTTCTACATGTCGTTTGATCCAATCGCTATGCAGTGCATGGAACAATTGCTGGATTACAGGAGCACATTTCCAGCAGCCATCAAGGATTACCTTCCGGGCTTCCCTGCTACCGACATGTTTGGACTGTAATGATCTATCGCCTTGATTTAAAAAAAAAATCTGTATTTGAAAACAGTTGCACAATGCTATTGAGGTATAATTCGGATTTTAAAAGTGTAAAATATGTATAACTGGAGATGCAAAGTTCAAGCCCTAGCACTGCACGTATGTCTTTAAGCTTAGCAAGTTCTCTATATCACTTATGTGTGGGACCCTTTGTAATAAAACACTGATTAGTACTTTTTCAGTTAAGTTTGAAATAGATCAACAGTTATAATCATGATTGTTATAATTTTATTAAGAAATATTTAAGACAGTTACAACTTCTGAAATATTGCTTTTTGGTATTATTTATGTCAACATTCATTTCTTGTTAAAGATGTACACTTAAATGTACCAGTTTACTGTTAATGCACTTAATTACAAACAATTATTACCATCATTATAATTGTTAGTAATGGTAGTAGTAGTAGTAGTGGTAGTAGAAGTATCTGGATTTATTAAAGGTATAGACCAGTTCTGGTCATGCGATTGCATTGTGAAAGAAACGTTGTGGAATCGATCAGAAAAGGTTGATCATCTAGCATATAAGTATTGGTGTGTACTGCAAGGTTCTGGAATCATCAAAATTATAAGAAATTAGGCCCAGTCTTAGTAACGTTACAAGCACTGTACACAAAAAGATGTATATCGGACTACGTAATATCTATCCAGTCTGGATTAGATATAATAATTTACCAAATATATCAATCAGTAGGCAGTTTCCCGGCGCGGTTTTCTGGCCAAATTTGAATCATCACGTATTAGTCAAAACATATTCTTTCACATGATTGGTAATAAGAGCTTCCTTTTCATTTTTTTCAGAGGGGGGCGTTTCCAAAACTGGTCTATACCTTTAACACTCAACTATTATAATTAGTGCTAAATAGGATCCACGACAAAGTACAAAAATGTTATAATGTATTCATATTTTATTTCAGTAATAAACTTAAAGCAGTTTTGTAGACAATAAATATGTAAAGTACTCTGATATATTTTATAAGTATTTGTCTGTACTAGCATACGACTTCAAGAAGTCTCTGTCCCATGTAACAACAGTCTTTCACATCTCATCAAAGTACAGACATTAAGATATCTTTCCTGATTCTATTAGAATCATTCAAATTTAAATAAACAATATTTTTACTTGAAATCTGACATCACTAAGAGTATTAAGAAAATCAGCATGTTCATAACAAAAAAATAAATAATATTCAGCCATTTCTAAATAGACCTTTTTACATGTTTATCTTATGGATGCCTAGTAACCATCTACAGTGCATTTGATAACCTGCTATTCATAATGAAAACTTGATACAAGATTCTTGTAAGCTTTTACTTTTTTAAGAGAATCTTTTGTTCAATAAGTGTGCATAAAACTAGTAAACACAACACAATCCTCTGACCAAACTGCCAATTTGAGATTCGCATAGACAAGGTGATTTCATATTTCAAGCATTCATAATTTTCTTATTATTGGTCAGAATTATTTCAAACTTTTTCCACTAAAAAAAAAAAAATCTTCCTGTTTTCATGCAAGGGTCGGATTGCCCTTTAAATGATGCCCTGGATGTCAAGCCGATAAGAAAAGGATGTCTATAAAAACTAAGTAAATTTGAAATATTTTTTTCAATTTTTTTGGGAATAAAAAATGAAGTCTAAACTCTGAGGTTTAGCAAAACTTAAAATGGGTTCTTGGATCTCAATAGAGATTTGTATTTTAATAGAATGTGAACTGCATACTTTAGGTGTTTACCAGGTCGGACATGTAATGCCTAATTTATGCATGAATATTCTGAATATTGATATCGTGTTAACAGGTGAATCCCTGGGCAAACATGTGTCAATAGGCCATTTTTATTTTGTAATGTTAACAAAAATGTAATGCATACATGTTCGTGGATGCCCAGATATAGATGATATAGCTACAGTCCCATATACGTCCCGGACCGTCCCGGACCATCCCGGACCCCATCCGGGGTGATCCGGGATTCGGTCCGTGTTGACACCGTGTTGGCACCGGGGTGGTCCTGGATGGTCCTGGATGGTCCTGGATGGTCCTGGATGGTCCTGGGCGGTCCGGGAGTCGACCCCGGATGTTTTTGACGGCCAAAAACTGCCGGGGTGGTCCGGGACGGTCCGGGACAATAGTTTGATCCGGGGTGATCCGTGTAGCCACCGTGCTGGTCCGGGGTCATCCGTAGTGGCGCCGGGGCGGTCCGTGTTGATCCGTGGCAGTCCGGGAGTGAGTTATTGACCGCCCAGGACCATCCAGGACCATCCAGGACCATCCAGGACCACCCCGGTGCCATCACGGTGTCAACACGGACCGAATCCCGGATCACCCCGGATGGGGTCCGGGATGGTCCGGGACGGTCCGGAACGTATATGGGACTGTAGCTTAAAAGCATCACACTTTTTTTAACAAAACATCCCGGACCATCCCGGATCACCCCAGACCATGGTCCGGGATGGTCCGGAGTGGTCCGTGCTCGTCCGTGCTGGTCCGGCTTTATATGGGACTGGGGCTTATCCTTCACCTGTTACAAATACTTGTGACTCACATATATAGGACATTATGGGACAACAATAAATATGTTACCCTTGACTATATCTTAAGTAGTCAGGCTAAATGTTGGAAAGGAAAAACTGAATATTTGTTCAGCATTCTGTGTAATGCGTAATTATTTCCAATGTCAAGTTTTCAACAAAATTGTATGTTGTATCAAGGGTACATATCTAAACTGAATGCTCATACTTCATGACACACACTGTTCAAATGATTTTAATATACATGTACACCATACAAAACTTCCAATATAGAGCGTGTATGTTTAACCAAAAATAAAAAAGGAATCAAGTAAGTATTATTGTACAGAATGTTTAAAAAAATATCACCTAGCATGTCAAAATGCAATTTAAAATATAAGATAAGGCCCATGACAATAATGACATGCAATCTACATTTTATACTGAATAAAACATGAAGGAGATGAAATTCAATACATCAATTATTCATTAGTTGTTCCACTAATTGAGTTGATACCTTTGTAAACTTTAGGGAGTGAGAATTACAAACATGAACTTCCTACAAAAATATATAACAAAATATGTCATGAAATGATTTCATAAAGATGTATCCCTAATAATTTGATCCTTATGGTTATCACATGATACTACATGTACATATTTGTGATGTACCATACAGGAAACAAAACCAGTACTGATAATATACAAAAGGCTGTTTTCATAATGTAACCCAATCTAATGCATATGTCTCTGTGAAGTGCCTTGATAATAGTAATAATACTAGGCATTTCTAAAGTAAATATTAAAGCCAAACATTGTCATCAAGCCAAGAAATCTTTGTTTGAAGTGACCAATTTGCCTCTCTAAATTTTGCTTGCTGTGCAACTCTGTCATTTATTACATCCGGGACTTGTGTAACGGGAAAAGGGAAGACCTGCCGCTAATTAAAGTGCAGGTACTATGTCTATGTACGTATGTTTTACCTTCAATCTGTTTTCTGATAGAACAAAACATGCAACAAAAATAATTTGTTTTATCCTCAGACGTATGCATTAAATTTGGTTACATTACGAAAACAGCCTATTCCAGATAATCATCTTCATACCACTTTGAGTACCTTGAAATCAAATTTCTTAATATTTATTTCATTTCCAACAGAAAGGTAAACAAAGATATCATATTTCATATCATACATAATTCATTTTTTCAAGAAACTATACAAATAAACTTTGCACATAATAACATTATTACAAGAAATTCTTAATTTCTGAGGAAATGGGGGGGGGGGGGGGAGGGGTCAACTAAAAAGTAGTGCTTGTAGTTTGTGGATCCCCCAGAAAAAAGAAAAAAAAAATCAAATTGTATCCAATTTTCAGTTACAGAAGAAATTAATTGATAAATAAATTATTTCATTGTTCAGCAAATCCTTAAAAATTCATTTTTGAATTCATTTTCCTCCCTGACACTACAGTCTTCTCATTCACCTTGGAATTGTGACTATGCATTGAAACAAATCCAGTCATGAAATGAAGGCATGAAATTATTTCATGTTATCATGGTTTTTGTGTGTTCATTAGTTACAAATGTTCAGTAACTTTTAGAATTGAGGTTGACACTTGGAGCTCAATAACAATGTTATGAATTGGCCAGACTTTTTGTCAGTAATCAAAGATCAGATATGGAGTGCAAATTCATTTTAAAAAATTTGTTTATTTGGTCCATGTGAATAGAAAGGAAGATTTCCAAATTTTCTTCAATTATTCTTCACAAGTTATCTGTGTACCACAATATCACTTGTCTAAAGACTATAGACACCCACTTTCACAATACAGCAATATTTCAGCTCTTTTACCATAACATATATTTTTAGTTGAAATAAAATTGCCATTATAAGTTGTATCTTTGTGTGTAAATTGTTCTGATGAAGTGAATAATCTATGTGCATGTTACATCCTGAGAAGAAAAAAAATGCCTGGAGTGATTCTCAATCAATTCAGCCGAATACAATTCAGATAAATTCAATTTTATTTATTTGATTAAAATCATTCAAAACTCTTAAATACCCTGAAACATGTTAATGTATTTTTTTTCAATATTCAATTAAAAAAAAGAATGTATTAAGCATTTGTTGGCTAACCTGTTACTGAGGTATTTTGGGCTTACAACCAGCCTATCCTAGCTTTTTCATACAGTTGATAGGAATAGAGAAGAACAGTTTTCTTTGCTTCCTAGTAATAACACCTGGCTTTAATACAGTTCTTCATCTAGCAAGTCACATTGGTGAAGAGAAAATTATCAAACTATGCTGGTTTATCTTTGCCATATATTGTGGCTTTTAAACCGTCACTTGTTCAAACAATATCAGTGAATGTTTTTGCGTTACCATAGCTCGAATCGTAGTAGCTCAGATCATGAGACTGCAAGATAAGAATTTGCTTAAATTTACAATTATCTGGCTTGGAAATTGCGTTCTATTCGACCAATAACACTGGTGAAGGTGGAATTCATCAGAGAGGTCTGGTTTATCATTCCCTAAAGGTGTTTCTGTTTTAGCAAAAGCATCAGATATAAGAGGGATATGGTACTTTGAGGCATATCGCTCTCATATTTCGGCTCAAACACATTTTTGTTAACAAATAGCATCACTGACATGAGGGCTATGACCTGGCTTTGACAAAAAGGCAGCTTAAACACAAGCAAAACAGGACGTCAATCGTCACATGTTGTCACCCACATTCTCCATCTCGTGTACATTGTGGTCATCCATGCTCTCAATGAGGGGCTCCTCCTCCTCGTCGACCAGGATGCCATCATCGTTGAGTCTTGTGATGACGGTGTCACCAATTCGCACCCCAGGGTCATGGCTCTCTGTGGCAGAAATACTCTTGTGCCATCCTTTCGGTCTATGGGTAATTTCAGAAAAGCGATTGGTCAGGGAAAGTATAACATCTAAATCAAGCCAACCATTCCTTTTAAAAGTAGTTAAGTCTGAAAATTCCTATCCTCTTATGGTAAAAGTCCAAGACATTCAGAAGATTTCTTTTTCATTCTCATTATAAAGCCTACCTGTATATGACAGATTTATTGAGAATTAATGAAGAGCTGAAAATAAATGAAGTATATCCTAAACAGGAAGTCTGCCCTGTTTAATTTCATATCAAGTGATATCAGTTTCATTTTATTCAAAGAAAAATGTAAGTTTAAGGAACATCTGATAATCAACCAAATGCAAATTGTTCCATAATGTACATGTACCGTTCGACCATCTCTCTCATCTGCTTTGTACTGAAATTTTCAGAAATTTCAATTTTTGGGGTTGTTCATGAACGAGTTGTGTATAGACAAATGAACAGTAACTGTATTTTAGGGTACATATATAAATAACTTCTTTAAATAAAATGGAAGTTTTATGAATTCTTCAGTATAGACAAAATGAGAGAGGTCCTCGAGAGGTAAATCATGGAGTGGCCATTATGTCTTTGATTGATTTCAACTTTAAAATATCACAAACTTTCACTTATCTCTTTTTCTCATTTCTCCACTTCCAGTAAAACCCATGTAAAATCAGGGTTGGCTTTCCCTTTAAAAACATCGTTTAACAATGTTAAATCTGAGATGCACAGCCCTACACGTTATCAGTGTCTGTGATATGGTGTAATATTGAAGCACTACATAAATTGCATTTCAAAATGATCAAGAAGTGCCTCAAAAAGGTAAAAATCTTCGAGTGACCGGTTTTACCATACTCGTTTTCCCCAATAGACTGTACGGTAATGAAAACTGAAGGAAAACACAAAATTTGATTTTGATTTTCAATCATATTTATCTTGATAATCAGACAGACGGTCGGCTTGTAAAAGTCATGGGGTTCCTGACTGACCTAAAGGTTTATAATTATCATTGCAGCATGAGCTAAATCCAAGAATTTGTTTCAGAATCTGAGACAAAGTTCCCGGATCCCTTTAAAGTGAACTGAGCCTCACCTTAGAAATGTTGCTAGGAGCAAGGGATCCACTCTTTTATATCTCTCATCCACGATGGCTAGCCGGATGACTTCACTCACAATGATACCGACGATCAAGGTACTCATCGTTGCAAACATACTATACCATAAGAAAGACACCTATATGGGAGAAAGGGTAAAGAACAGATCCCTGTGAAATGTTTGGAAAAGTACAGAGTCAAATAATAATGTTCTCTGACACGTGCTCCTGCGCCATAATGTTCCAGGCTTTATGTCATGAAAACTATAGGATTAGTGTTATTGTCGCAAACAGCATTTTAAGGTTAGGTTTAGGGTTACAGTTAGGGTTAAGGTGTTGAGTCTAGGGTTGGGATTAGGAATTCAATTAGTGCTGCAACCTGAATTAAAGAAAAAGGCAAATTACTCTGTCTCATTGGTTGAATCAAGCATCTTTTCTAGAATTCTAAAAAAAGGCAGATTATACCATTTTAAAGAAACATGAACTTTAAGTACTTTGTGTATGTAAAGCATTTGCAAATGTCCCAAAAGAGAATTTTCTTTGGGTGTTCAAAACAAGAAAAACTTTTCAATGTTCTAAAAGAAAAAGGCTTTACGACGTTCAACAGTAGGTGCAAAGAACATTATGATGCCCTAGTGGCTCATTCTTCCACTTCCACAACATTGAGCAACTATCAAAAAACTGTGGTGAAGCTAAACTGACATATATGCTCCACTGCTACTTCTGAATATAGGTTTTCCCATCCATTTTAACACTTTTTACATTCATTTCATCCCAACACTTTGTGATCTTGACATCTCAATGTCAATTTTGTCTTTGATCATTAACTTTGAAACTTTCTACATTAAATTTCGAAATTTTGCATCAAATTTCATCAAAGTTAAATCATGTTCGTCATCCCTGGCTGCCAACATACCATTGCACCAATCAATTTAGTCATTTTGCAATCAATTTTGTCATAGCGGCATTCAAATTTGTCAATCCATTAGTACATCAGAACAGGGGGCAGGGTCAAAAGTGTAAATTTGCAAAGTGCACTGGTGGTATTGTTATGGAGAGCAATCTGACATAAGAGCATATGATTTGTGTAAATGACTGTGGGGCTATCGTTTCCAACTAGCCGTCCTTGAATGCCGAACTCTAAAGAATCTGAAAATTAAACTCATGGACTATGGTGACATGTCAGGCAAGTTTTGCTTCTGTTTGGTCATCAACTTTCTAAAGCATCATGCCTAGGTTAAAAAATGGTGAATAGGCAACTCAAAGCTGAAGATCTCCAAAAAGAAGTTACAGCACGTCTTTTATTTATGAAACACAGCATTCCTACACTCTTCAAAGAAAGAAAAATGCCCAGTTGAGCATGAGCATTTGACCTTGCCCCATATTTTGATGAACTGCACATTCCATGAATGACAAATCATAACATATGGGGTATTATCTTAAAGAGGAATAAACCCACTTTATAATGATGCTAAACATAGCAATGGTTCTGCCATAACAAGGGAGATATAATCGTTCATACTTGAGTTTCCAAACTATTTTTCAAAGGTTAATGTTCAGCAGTAATAAAATATAATAAAATAAGATCTTTGAGTTGAACTCACCCGATATAACCAGAATGCATCTTGCTGTACATAATTATCTTCCCCTTGATGTGTTAAAGCTCCTATTGTAATCCAAAGACTGATGTATGTTCCTACCAACATACCTATCAATGCACCACTGTTCACAACACAAGAAATTAGAACAAGAGAAGAAAAAAGTTACATGATATGAAAAAGGAAGCACCTCAAAGTGGCACTGATTTGTTACATTTATAAGTTTCTGTATTTGACATGTGTTATTAACTTTATTATCATGATGATGATCATGATAATCATCACCCTCATAATCACCACTATATTATCATCATCATTATTATCATTATTAGAAGTATCATAACAAGCATTTCTGTTATCATCATCATCACCACTAAAAAAAATTAAAACATTTGGGATGAGTCAAATTTCCTATTTTTTAAACAAAATTTGTTTAATACAATCTTTTTCCAGGAAGGGGGGGGGGGGGAGGGAGTTTGGCAGAGGAGCCTCAGGGAGTAGTTTATACTAGACTCTTACCCAGTGTTAGATCTCTTGTAGAGAAGTCCTAATGTGAACACACCCAGGATGGGCCCTCCCAACGCTCCAAGTACAGTATTAGCCATCTGAACCAGTGAACCCATCTTGCTGGCGACAAATGCGAGACCTATGGCGCCAGCTCCATACACAAAGGCTGTCACAAACAAAATAAAAACACAGTTAAAAGTGTTTTCTGAGGGCACTGTCAGAATACTAGCCCATACTTTTCAGTTGAATCCCCTTCATCATACAGAATTTTGATATTTTTCACTGCATTTTAAGCAATTACATTCACATGCATTTATTTATTGATTTATTTCTGATATTTAGACAGGGTGACTCATTATCACCAATAATGGTGGTCTTCCATGAGGCCCTATATGAAAATTTTACCAATTTCTGAGTTCAGGGAACATCAACTTTACTAACCAACTTATAACTTAAGTCTCGGTCACAAATGTCATTACGAACTGCTACGAACGGCGTACAAACGATTTTCAGACAATGGAATTTCGGGAAGACAATGGAAAAACAGGGAGATTCGTACAAAATTATCGTTCGTACGAACCTTTGTGACCGTAGCATTAGCTTGAAACTTTTTTTAGTGTCCTTTATTTTTCTATATATCTAAATCATATTTCACCTGCATGTACACATATAAAGCTCTATTTCTTCCTTCCTTGTATTTAACTAGAAGTTAGGAACCTTTGCATCTTACAGAATATAAAACTCACAATCTCTATCAGTCTTAGAATTATACTCAATCAAGAATTTTGTGGCTACAATGTACATACATGTACTTTATACATAAACGTAACATAATTGGAGTTCAGAATGTAAAATTACTTGATATTTTGTAGTTTAAAAGTCTTCAAGCTTAGAAATGCCAAAATTTGTCTAGTAATGGGGGCAGCCGTGCATGTATTTATTCAATTTTCCACATCAAGGAACGAGCAGGAAAGGACATCATTGTCCTATGAAACAATAACAGTTACTTCACATTTTTATACAGCACTAGTCAGCAGGCTACATACAAGTACATATGAAGAATACTTACTGAGTACTTTTGATAGCACTGTGTCTTTAAAATCTTGTGCGGAATCGACAACAGCTGTCCCTAGTCCAACAGACTCTGCTTGACCCGTCCTCCAATGTCTCCATGGTTTCACAATGTCTACCAGGGTCACGGCAGCCAAGGCATTCAGACCAGATGCTACAGTACTGCAGAGAATGTCAAAGCCATCAAATGTATCTTTCACAACCATTCAATTTTAAGAAAAAACTTTTTTTTAAATGAAGAGAACCCATATTGCAATATGTGCTTGTATGTCTCCCTCTTTGTCTCAGGGGAAACTGGATGTAACAAGATCATTGGAATCAAAATATTTACTTGTCATGGCCACTATCTTGTTATGTAAGAACATACATCACAATGCACATATATGCAGAGCTACCAGGTATCACGCATTTTGAGGGTCTGAAAATGCTCTTACGTATCAAAATGTTTGAAAGACTTGAGGGAAAAAAGTCATGAAACGACAATTCAAAATTCCAAGCGGTTGCAGCGCAATCTCCGAAAATGTTGAGGTTTTGATCCTGGGACCTAAGGGTTAACTGTAACTTCCGATTTGATTTGCTGTTGGGTGATGTTGCCATGATAGTTAATATTGTTGGCATAGCTTTTATGCCACCGGTCTTTACATCTAATAAGACACAGAGAGTAGGCATCTTTGTTTCATGCAGCTCCTTTTTTTCTTCATCCCCACTTGCCATTGATTTTCATTTAAACGCTTTCATTGTCCACATCATGTGTGAACAAGCCCATATTTAATCAACTATTCCCAAACCACAAATGTTTCACTCATTGTTTACTAGCCTATTGCTTACCTCAAAGTGCCAGCAAATAAGCAAGCTACAAAAAGACCCTGCATGCCGGGGATGTGACCAAACTCAATGCTCACAAAGTAGATTAATATCTGGGTGAAAAAAGAGAAAATATCATGTTGATAATATTGATAATAATAGTAATTTTAATAATATTAATAGTAATAGTTATAATGATAATAATAATGATAATAATGGTATTGATAATAATATTAATAAATAATAGTAAAAATATCATGATAATAAAAGTAGTAATAGTAGTAAGAGTAGTGACTGATGTGACTGATGATGATGATGGTGATGATGGTGATGATGATGATGATGATGATGATGATGATGATGATGATGATGACGATGATGATGATGATGATGATGATAGTGTTGTTAATAATGATAATAATGTGATGATGATGATGTTGATGATGATGATATTGATTATGATGACAATGATTGTGATGACGTTGATAATGATTGTGATAATAAAGATTCATGTTGATGATAAGATAAGATACCATTATAATCACAATAAAAACAATGGTACACATACATATTGATGGAATTAAAATGCAATGATATTGACACTGATAATACAAAAACATTAACTGAAAATTGTAAATAAATGATGACGATTAGGATAACATTGATAATAATCTTTGAGAGCTCTTACCTGATCAGGTGTAGAATACTTTGGTGTATAATGAACTGGATGACCATCACTACCATCTTCACCACATCAAATGCATATCAAAGAGTGATGTCAATTCATAGCAGAGATGAGACATTTGAAAAGCAAAAGAAATACATTTGTTATGATGCTTGTATCTAAATAATTCACATACTCTTCTACCAGCGATTGGGAAACATTAAAGGACAATCCAGCCCTTGTAATAAGTTCACTTGTATGAAAGCAGAAAATAAGAGTTTAGCTCACCTTTGGCTAAGGTGAGCTAAAAATGCATAACTTTCTCATGTTTTGTCTGATTTCATTCAAACTTTCAACAGTCTACTTCTCTGATTATCCTGCTTTCCTCTTAGAGTAGCTCTCTGTCAAGGTAGGATTTCCCTTTAATGATAATACCACTGATTTCAAAAGAAGAAAAAAACAATACACACCTTAAAGGAAGCAGTGATGAGATACATGGCTTGCATCCTACCAATAAGAACATTTTGCCTTAAAATGATCGGTGTTATGGGGGAAAGAATTTAGACTCAATTGCCTTAAATGCCAATATAGTCATTCAATTTAAACATGTACAACTATCAAAAATGTTCATGAAATTCAAATATGATGCAGGAAACCACTTTATTTTCCATGAAATCATTGACAATACTAGGGGTGACAAAAAGGTACACATAGCTGCACACAAGAAAGGTAGTAGAAATGATGTGTTGTGAAGTACTTTTTGCTACATGTAGGAATGGGTGTTAACCTCCTACCGAGGTCCCTACCCAAACCCATCATTCAACACAGATATTACCTACATACTAAAGTCTGAAGTTCATGCAAGAAAGAAATTTGTATTTTCTATAGAAGGGGAGGGAGGAGGAGGGGAAGGGTGCATGAGTGATTGGCAGCTCGACTTTACAACAAAATCCAACCCCCAAATAAATACATTTCATTAAATGCAGGTACATGTGAGAGGCAGATAAGTAAAAATTTTAGGGAAATCAAAATAAACAGTACGAAATTTATGATTTTTAGCAGTTGCAATCAATCCAAAAGGAATTGGCAACGCTGTGGTATATCATTTTGAACATGTCTCCCATTTGTTGTCCATAAATCTAACAAATGTCTTTCTTTTTTTTCTCCAAAGAAAATAGTTCATCATACCTTTGCCCCATATATACTATTGCACATGTATTTCTATACCCCCTCCTATATGAAAAAGATCTCATGTTCATTCATTTGATACCATAAAAATGGAAGTTTACAGGATTTTCAGTACTAAGCAAATGGGAAAGGTGCTTGAAAGGTACTCTTACATTGACTGACTACAACGTCGCAATCAAGAACTCTTTTTATTCTTTGTCAGATTTTCTGCACTCTTTAACTACTCCGCTCATCTGCATGTTTATACACGTACATCAGGGAATAATTTTCTTCAAATTTTTTGATTAGCAATTTCAGGCGATGGATAAATATTTCAAATGAAATTCTGTACATTTCTATGGAAGAAAACTGCTACATAAAAGATATTTTGTATAGCAGTCATGCAAAAATGCATAGCAAATTGCGATGCGATACCAGGAAAATTATTCCCTGTACATTCTTCTGCTTTTAATAAAAACCATTCAAAGTCCAAGGTAGATTTCTCTGTAAGTCTCCCCAGTACATTTATCAACATCCATTATGGCATACCCTGAATTTCAGAAACCATGCAAACTCATGCTGCATGGACACTGCTTCTATCTAGATGAAGGCCAAAACTTAATGACCCAAATAAACAAGAACATCAAATTTTTACAGGATGAAAACTGCTCTACTACAGATTCAGTACATGAATTTATAATTCATTTTTGGATTCCCTTTCTTCCTTCCTCCTGAAATGCTCCATTAAAGGTAAAGACCAGTTTTGGAACCCCCCCCCCCCCTCTCAAAAAATGAAATGGAAGATCTTATTACCAATCATGTGAAAGAATATATTTTGACTAATACTTGATAATACAAATTTTGCCGGCAAACCGCCTACTTATTGATATATTTGGTAAAAAGTTATATCCATTTGGACCTGATAGATATCGTGCACGTATCACGCACATGTCGCGTAGTCCCATACATATTTTGTGTACAGTGCTTGTAACTTTACCAAGACTGGGCCAAATTTCTTTTCATTTTGATGATTCCAGAACCTTGAAGTACACAACAATACTTTATGCTAGATGATCAACCTTTTCTGATCGATTCCACAACGTTTCTTTCACAATGCATTTGCTTGACCAGAACTGGCCTTTATCTTTAATGTGCACAGCAGGGGCAGAACTACATGGGCAGAGAAGCTTAACCCTACACCCCCACCCCCCTCCCCAACCACTGTTTATGTTGGCAATATTTCAACTTTTGCACTTTCCCAATTTCGGGGCTACTGTATACTTTCATTTTTGTTGCTAGTTTAAGCAAAATCATCAACCCCCCCCCCCCCCCCCCCCCTCCTCCTAGCAAATATCTGAGAATTTTTTTTACCCATGCCAGCAAGGGTGATCCCTTCCTAGGATAGGCCCTTTCTGGTATATGTAAATTTGATCAGACATCCAGTACACCCAAGTACACCCCTAGTTGGGCAAGATTACTTCATTATTCTATGCTTGTCTCTAATTTGAGTCTGACACCCTCCGCCCCCCCCCCCCCCCTCCATTCAGGTACACCCCTAGTGGGCCGACCCAGATTAGCCATCTACATCAATCATTCTTACTTGGATAAGTGTGATTGAGAGCTGGTTGAAGATGCGTCATGTCGTCTGTTTCAGTAGAGACAGGATAGAAGCAATATGAAGAAGAAGAAGCTAGTGTGAGATGGTGCTATAGTATGGTTTCTACCTCATAATTAATGTCATCTTTAAGAACCAGAAGAGCATTTATTCTGCATGATTGATAGAAGCCCTTCTGGCTCTCATCAGATGACACTCAAAAGGCTCAACACTTCATGCAAGTGACAGAAGTTAAACATGTGCAGGATTTGTAATCGATGCTGCAAAAGCACTCACTAAGAATGAAAAGGATGGAATTTATCCACTGCACTAGCAATACATATTTGTTTTATATGCCAATTTACAGAAATGAGCATTTAAAGGGGAAGTCCACCCTGATATTTGGTTGGTTTTAATAAAAGCAGAAAAATGAGAGAAACAAATAAGTGAAAGTTTGAGCAATATCTGATTAAAAATAGCAATGTTATGAATTTTTGAATTTGTCATCACTGGAACACAAATTGGCAACACTGTGTCGTTTCGTGCGAGCTCCTCTCCAATTTGCTCTGTATAGGACACTTCATAAACTTTCATTTTCTTAGATATCGATGACAGAATGGATTTGCTTCATACAAGTTTTTTTAGTACAGAGTAATTAAATGGGAGGGGACCTTGAAAGATAAGTCACAAAGTTGCCAATTTGAGTTTGATCTTATTTTAATACACCTGGGTGGAGATTGGCAAACATGGATTAATGTCTTGCCAAAGGACATTAGTGGCAGAATGGGATTCAAACCCTTAAGCCTTGGATTGAGAGTCCAGTGTATACCATGACACCCTATAATCAATGATTAAAGATTTATACTGAAAGTGCTATATCACACAATGTAATGCTAAAGAGGACATCATTTGCAATTTACAAAGCAATGCATTTGAAAAGGGTTATAAATATTCTGTATAGTGTCATCCACAAATCAAAAATGACCAATTTCAGGAAGAAAATTGTTAGGTTTTGACTATACATATTAATCCAAATCTGACAGTATGGTTTCTCATTCCTTTTATAAAATAAGTAAATTTTTAAAAGAGTACAAATTGGGTTTGTAAATGTGCAAAAATAACACCAAACATGCATGTAGCATAATGAACAACCATGTGACATCCCCTGCTTGGACCAGCACAGCAAGATTGAAAAGGAGAGATTGAAAGCACTTTGGATGAATTTTGTTCCCAAGAAAGAATGTTAAAAGCTTGTGGGACACCTTTAATATTTCACTGTTTTTCATACAGGAAAATATATAAATAAGAAATAAGTAAATGTTCATCGTACAGGTAAGTTTTCAAAGTCACTACATACGTCACATCTAAAAAATATTTATAACAAATGATTAGAAGTAATGCAGTAACATGAACTACATACACCCGCATTACATAAATACAAACCACGGCTTGGACCTATACAACTTACCATTATAATATGCAAAGAGAACTAGTCCACACAGAGACACGATTGAGATCATTATGATGTTTCCAGGTAGTCCATACCACACAGATCTGACACAAGAAAATGTAATTGGGATGAAGTAAAAAGAACTTACTTTTGAGTACTTTTCAAAAGATGTTAGTTCTTTTCCTTTTCTTCAATGTTAAGAGCATACATATTGAAAAAGACAGAGATTTATAAGTAATCACATTTAAGATGAAACTCTCAATTTGTTTCCCATTGTTTTAATCAATGTTCATAGCATGTACATATAGAAGTGACAAAGGTGAATAATAAACTAAACTAGATGAAACTTTGACTGCGCACAATCGAAAATGATGCCTCTGCCATAAATCCATTTTACAAACTAAAACAGAAGCAATTTTTAAAATTGAAGTTTGATTGTAATCCATTAACAGGTTCTCAGAATATCAATATTACAAGCTATTTTTCATGTACATGAATGACTCTTTGACCTTGACCTCATGACCCCAAAATCTGATCAGTTCATTGGCTCAGCAAGAAACATACAAGTCTTGAGTTTGATGGTAATCCGTCAATCGGTTCTGATGATAATGTGATCACAAGCTATTTTTACATTCATAATGAGCCCTGTGACCTTTGACCTTGTGGCCCCAAAATCTGAAAAGTTCATTGGCTCTGCAAGACACATACATGACACAAGTTTAGCGGGTATCCATCAATCGGTTCTTGAGATAATGTGATTACGAGAACGGGATGGATGGACAACCCAAAAACATAACGCCTCCGGCTACTTTGTAGCGAAGACTTAAAAATCTAAACCTGACCCTGGGTTTGAGCTCAGTCTAAAGTTGACTTTAGAACAAAGCAAGTAAAAAATTGAGGTCTAGGATTGATGTTAAAATTCGCTCTAGTCCTCACATCGGGTTTAACTTTTCGTATAATATTGGCAAAAGAGTTGCTAACCTTTTAGCGTCTTTGAGTGTCTTTGAGGTGAGGAATCGTTGTACAGCAGTCTGACTGACTGCCCAGAGTGGAAGGCTATTGAATGCACCACCAATCAACAGACCCCAGAAGGTCTCTCGCTGTGTCAGGTCAGCCGATGGTCTACAACAGGCAAGAAGACAGACAGGAAGAAAGACAAAGGACATGTGTGACGCAGAGGCAACACACTTTAGAGGCAAGATGAGCAACTATGTTCAAGGCGAGATGGCTCAGTACGAGGTAGAACAGTGGTCTCGTAACTGAGAAGAGCCAGGTTCAAAACGAAGTGGATGCGCTAGTGCACATTGATAATGCATTACCGGTAATCCTCATTAGCAAGTCTCTCAGAAAGGACTTAAAGGTAAAGACCAGTATTGGAAACGCCCCAATTTCAAAAAATGAAATGGAAGCTCTCATTACCAATCATGTGAAAGATATGTTTTGACTAATACATGATGATAAAAAATTTGCCGGGAAACCGCCTACTAATTCATATATTTGGTAAATTTGTTTCTCTCATGGTCTGTGAGAGATATAGGGTAGTCCCATATACATCTTTCTGTGTATAGTGCTTGTAACTTTACGAAGAATGGGCCAAATTTCTTATTATTTTGATGATTCCAGAACCTTGCAGATGCTAGATGCTAGATGATCAACCTTTTATGATCGATTCCACAACGTTTCTTTCACAATGCAATCGCATGACCATAACTGGTCTTTACCTTTAAAGTGACTCTGTAATATTGTTGAAGGTTGATGAAAAGACTGTGTAATTTGTTTATATGAAGCTACTGTTCTAACCCTGTAACAGGCAAAAAAATCCTGAAAGGTGTCACTGTGCAACACCCTCTAACAGTAAATTCTCCAAACCATTATTGAATTTTCCCAAACGTCTTTTTTCAATGAAAATAAGACATCAAACAGGCTTTTAAAAATCGTTGAACACTTAAATGCTTGGAATCGTATATAGATCCAATTTATTGCTTTGTGACGGGTTACATTCTGTAATTAAATTGTAATAATATACATGTAGTTTGGAGAATCAAGGAATCGATCAGATCACTTTTTTCCCCCAATTTGTATCATTAATAATGGTCTGCTTTCTTTGATTTTCTTTACTTGTACATTTAGCATTGAGCACCACATTTTCTCATCTAAATAATCTTACCAAGTCGATTTAAGAATGTTACATATTAAAGCTTAAATTTAAAGTATTCAACAAAGGCTCTAATTCAACCCGTCCACCTTTGATTCTTGAGTTATGAAAAGCACATAAAACATCAAATTTACAAAGAGTATGAGTAATTCAGTAGTAAACTGTATCTGGTTTTATGAAGTCAGGTAAAATATATCATTAAACCTTGTCAGTCCTGGATTATTCATACCTCTTCTTTGTATATCATTCTTTTTATCTTGGAATACTCACTCAAAAAAGTTGAGATGGCCCTTCTCTTTGTTGTACTGCCACACGTAGCCTAACCCACCGGCTTGAATGGCCCCCAATATGACCACAGTCAACAGGGATCCAAACAAGACTGTGAACTGGAACACATCGGTCCAAATAACAGCTTTGATTCCTCCCTATGAAGTGAAAACCAAAACCAAACATTGGCTATTTATAGAGCATAGGAATTGACCAGGTCGTAGTTAGCACATGGTACAAATGACCCGAAATATACACAGGTCTTCTAAGGGTAGATAATGAGCACTACAACAACAACAACATTTTTGTTTGTTTGTACACTACAGCTCCTAAGTCGATATACTTTACAGCACTGTCATGATAACCTCACTTACGGTATTTGAAATACATTGTAACCCTGTACCCCTGCATAACTGTATGTGTAGAATTGGTTCCTATAGACCTAGATTGGCCCAAGGTAGATCATACATGAGGAGAGAAAAGATATTATATCAAATTTCATTTTCAACTTGGAAACCCCAAATTTGTATCTTGCAGTTTAAGAGTCCTTGAATCAGGTAAACTAGAAACTGTAAGTAAATTCAACCCTGCTTCCATTTATTTTGAGGTTCGTTTTAAACTAGAGTAGTAGTGACAACGTGACACAATCCCAGATATGTTTTGGTCCTATGAGTGGTGAGTCTTTGTCTTGGAGAATGTATTATTAAAGGAAACCCTACCCCAAGAAATAACTTTAGTTATTCTGAAAGATTTCTTGTATTCTTGCCCATTTATCTACAAGATTCCCCACCAAAGTGTATGAAGCAAGATATTCTTAGCATAATGTACAGTATCTCAGCATGACATGGGCATCATTATTTTATCATCACATTATCAAGAAAATGGCTGCGCCCATGTCATGCTTAAAGGCATTAAATCATGCCAAGCGTATCTTCATTTATATTTCTCTTGTACATTTCTGTAAGGAATATTGTACATCAATAGGCAGTCCTGAATAAATGTCATAATTTAGCATACCGGTACCTACACTTATTCTTTTGGGTGAGGTTTTCTTCGACTTACCAAAGCAGTATATATGGAACATATCGCTCCTGTCAGAAGTACTGTGGCTGATATAGGAAACTTAGTCACTGTATGAGAAGACAAAATGTGATAACACGGTTTTCAGACGTTAACAACATGGTCACTTATAGTCTTATATATGCTTGTACTTTTTAAGATGCCCCTTTTATGATCACCTTATATAAGGATTGTTGAAAAGAAGCAACTGATGAGTGAAAAAGGTCTCTTGCTATAAAAACTTACACTTCAGAAGCAATGAAACATTCTTTTTTCTGTACTACTGATCTCACTACTGATCTGAGTGAATACAAAGGACACTATAAGTAAATGTAACATATTGGTCATTTAATCCAGTGAAAAGTCATCAAATTTAAAAGTTTGATTTTTTGTTTGCTCCTGCTGTAGCAGTACTTCGCTACTGACAAAGTCTTATACGTGTGGGTACGCCACTGGGTCAAGGTCAAGGTTCAAAGGTCAATGATCTTACCTGCATTGATAGCGAGGGCTGGAGCATAGAGTACTATGGCCATGTAAAACAGAGTCTGGATTATGAAGAGGAAGGCACCGGCTATCCTGACGGACATGCTGAACCTTTTATGAAGGTACTGGAAAGAAAGATAATTCAGCATTCTCGTAAAATCTTCCAGCGCTCACACATTCACTCCGTCCGCGTAGTAGCGGTTCATTGCATGCAATGTTATTGGGAATAGACAGGTTTAACATACGGTATTCAAATTGTATGCATTAATTTTAAACAAAGATCGTTCTTGACAACGTGAAAGCTTGCCCAATGCTTGCCTAGCTGACATAGGGAAAGGTACTGCATGCAGACTGGATTCCAAGGATTGCAGTTCATCACCTTATATATGTTTGATCTCACTCTTATTTTTATTATTATATATATGCATGGTTTATTGAATAAAGAACAGATGTATAAGTTGTGTGTTTATTATAAGTTTTGGAAAATAATTTTTTAGTCAGACTATGGTGAGCTTAGAGACACCCGTATTAAGCGCCTAATAAATATTGTGTAATATTTAAAGCCCCACTGTTCTACTTGTAGCTACTTGCTCCCTTTATCCAGAAAACAATGCCTAGTCGGTGCCTGTTGGTCCCCCATGATCCTCTTTTTCTTATGTTACATGAGAGCTGAGTTGATGAGATAGCCACCTGTCAGTCACCACGCTGTGTGGTCTATTCCCTCCCGGCCAAACTAGTACAGCCCGCCTTTAATAACAGGTTTATGGAATACCGGGAACTTGTCACTAGGTCCCAGGAAACAAACATCCAAAGATTTGAACATATTCATAGAGAACTATCCTTTCCACCTCCATAGGTTTTATATACAAGTGTGTGTGTACACAATCAATGACCAGTGGCTTTTTTTCACAAGAAACCAAAGAATTTGACCCTTCTGTTAATAAAAACCCTAAAACAATCATGTTTCTGCTTTAATATTGTAGGACAATTCCAAGCTATTTGACCTGTGATGAATGGGACAGATCAGAACCTATACACCAGTCTAAATATGAAAAGCATAAATAAACAACTTTGGGGTGCACGCAAGCATATGAGTACATAGAACTGAATGTTGATTTTCTTACATTTCAAAGAAAACTAATCAATAAAAAGCATTGAGAATTTTCTGTGTACTTTTTAAGAATAGGTTTGAGCATTATTCTGTAAGTTTTAACACCATGACTTTTACAAGCCGATCGCCTGTCTGATTATCAAGATATTTAAGATTGGAAATTGAAGCCAAATTTTGCGCTTGCTTAACGGTTTTCATAACACTACAGTCTATTGGGGCAATGAGTAGGGTAAAACCAGTCACTCAAAGATTTTTACATTTTTTGAGGCACTTCTTGATCTTTTTGAAGATCAAATTTTTTAGGGCTTCAATAATACACCATACCACAGACACTGATAACACGTAGGGCCATGCATCTCAGATTTAACATTGTTAAGCGATGCCTTTAAGGTAACTGGTTCTCTGTTAGCAATTGTTTACCTCATAAGCACTGGTGACTCCCAGACCATGGAACACTGGGATGAAGACCAAGGCAGTGATGGGGATGGTGATGAAGAAGCTGAAGATGACTATCCAGTACTGGATACCATAGATGAAGATCTCAGCCGGGATACCAAGGATGGTGATAGCTGACACGTAGGACGCCAGCACACTGATCGCTACAGGGATGCTGTACATGCTGCGATCCGCCATCAGGAACCTGCATGAGTTGAGTTGGATATGATTTGAGGTGCAAGACAATTTTGTTTATTTAATGTGGAAATTATTGCACATACAGGGTAATCACATCAGACGATGTGTTTTGAGTTTGATTTTTATTTGCTTTGTGAAATGATGTGCTCTATTTAATGTGAAAATCATTGTAGTAATTTCTTTACCATCCATAGATATATAGTGCACACATAGAAGGCCTAAATTTCAAAATACCGGCAAGTCCAAGGTATTTGGTCATTTGATGTCCCATATGATATAGGGCTGCGTCTCAAGAAACCGTCATACATTGTAAGTACAAGTTCGGCGACATCCCTTTGAAATGCGTGTATTAAGTTTAACACGCGCTTCAATAGGATGTCGCTGAACTTGTACTGCCCAGGGTATTATGGTAGTATGAACAGAAATTGACATCAGAAGCAATATTTTTCTGTATATTCGGTCAGATCGAATGTCTAGTTTGGGTTTACAAGTGGATACAATGATCAGGTATTCTCAATACTTATCGGTAATGGGTTAATTATGTATGGAGGAAGATAGCCGATATTAATTAGGCCTAAAAAAAAAAATTGATGACTTGGCGTAACCCGCCCGACCCTATTTTTATCGCCGACCCTACGCTTTTTTTTTTTTTTAATTTTTTTTTAAAATTTTTTTTTTAAATTTTTTTTTTTAAATTTTTTTTTTAATTTTTTTTTTTTTTTTTTTTTTTTTTAAATTTTTTTTTTTTTTTAAATTTTTTGATAAAGGATTCTGAAATACTGGAGACATTTTTTAACTGTTTGTTATTACAGAGCCATTCACAATTGTAAATATTTTCACAAGTTGTAATTGGCTACTCTTTTCAACCCTCATTCTTCAAGATTTTGGATACATGTTAACATGTTAACATGTTAACCTCTAGACAAGTTATAAAAATGCTAGTCAATACATTGTGAAAATACTAATATTTGTGAACAGCCCCTTCTAAACCTGTTTATCCTGTTGAAGACAGTGTCTGAGATATCTCAGGCTGGGGTCTGTTGGAAACCTATTAATGCGTTCGTATGTTTGCATTTTATGTGCATGAGGGTGTATGTACATGTACATGTATGTATGCAGGGGGGGGGGGGGGCCAGGTGTATGTATGCATCCCCCAGGTCCCAAGGTGATCAAGATTTCAACAATTTCTTGCTCACTTTGCTCACACAGTGTGTGTGTCCATATATGTGTGTGTGTGTGCGTGGAGTTATTTGAACATATTGTGGTCTACCCCTCTCATCAGATCATCCCCAAGGTCTGAGGACCTATCTACGCCACTGTATGTATGTATGTGTATGAATGGCTAATTTCATGTATGCAAATATAAGCAACAACAACAACAACCAAAAAAAAAAAAAAAAAAAAAAACAACAACAAAAAAATCGCCCTACCTACCCTAATTTTTAGTGACCCCTTACGCCAAGTCATCAATTTTTTTTTTTAGGCCTTAGCGAATGGAATTGAAATTGTATTAAACATGTACAGGCATTCAGGTAGAAACAGTCACATGATTGTCATGAGATATAGAAAGTTCGAGCCAAGTAGTTTCCTGCAAATTTCCTTATTTGATTGTAAAACAAATGAACCTAGACTGAACTACATGCCAATTTGTTGTAAATAACTATTTGAAATGTTATTCAGCAGTTACGCACTTTGCTGTAGTTTTTTGGCCACCCCCGGAAAATGCATGGTACAACCCGGTTGCCGTAGAGACAACCAGCATCGATGAGAAGATGACATAGTCCAGAGCGGAAAATGGATGAACCTCTGCTTGAGAAGAGTTATCCTTATCCATCAGCTCTGCACTTCTTTCATCCCGTTTGCCATCTAAAGAAATGAAGAGCAAGAGAGAGTACAAGAGAGGCAAATTATAGGAGGGGGGGGGGGGAGGAGGATGACATGTTGGAACACATTATACAGGAAATGAAAAAGAGAATGTAAATGTTGTTTAACACACACAACTTTACTATGTACATGTAGGTTTACTTTTAATACACGATGCAGGGAGGCAACCATTTGGAAGAGAGTCAACAGACTCTTGGTTTATCAAATACATGTAGTTCTCTATTAATTAATTACTTTTTATTTATTATTGTTAATTTGTATTTTGTGTACATTTTTTGTTTAATTTATGTTTGATTTCCTTTCAGTCTTCATATTTTTGATATGTTATTCATGCCTATAATGTTTCTCTTTGTTTTGATTTGATTTGATTTTGTTATTTAGCATAATTTTTTATTTTGTTATCTGTTGTTACTGGTTTTTGTTAGTATAAATGTATCAAAAGTTGTACATTTTTATGTCAGACTACAGAATCTCTGGGAAAAAAATCCCATAAAAGGATGATAACAAATCATCCTGATTAAATACATACCGGTACATGTATATCTAATGAATACACAAATAATATACATCTATAGACCCGTTTACATTGCAGAAGAACCTATTCGAAAACAAAACAGTTTTTTAAAACTGCATTGTACTTGTACATGTAGTTGTACTTTATGGTTGTACTCAACTGGAAAAACCCAAACAAACCATCCATGTTTGCTTATTCTGTTTGTTTGTTTTAGATTAGAATTACCATTCAGCTACAAATTTGGGGTTTCAATGCCTCTCCTCATCACCTCAGGCTCATGTACATGTATGACTGTGACTTATGAGAATATACATGTACATGTATGTTAATCTTTTAGCCGATAAAGGCGATAATATCGAAATAATGGCGATAATATCGAAATAATGAATTTGTCGCTTATCATGACAATTAAGAGACATGACATGGTTTTCAGTAACAGGTTGTCTGCTCCCCGACATATCCGTAGGTCGCAGACAAAGATATGACTAACATGGGGGTCACTCTTGAGCTATATGGGGTCGTCAACGTTTTCCTTAACCACTTGACTGTGGATCACGTACATGTACGTGTTCTCGCTCTCGCATGCCTGTGCGTACCACTAACATGTACATGCTTAGGGCATTGCACTTTCAAGATCGTAGCACTGCAGAATGCCTAGCCCTACTGTGTAATTAGCACTGCAATGATGTTATACAGGTCTTGAACCGTACATGGCGCTCTTCCAAAAAAAATCTGGCCTTTTTGTGTACAGCGTACAGATTTTGTACAGTACAAAAATGCTGTAGCACAGGGGGGGGGTATGAACGTGTTTTAAGCCAATAGCAGGGAAACGGTTAAAGGGACTTGGTAACATTTTTCATATGAGAAAAACAAGGGAAACGCTCTCGGCGGTCTCGCCTGCAAAACGCAATTCAATATGATAAACCAGAACGTCAATGACGTAGCGCTCATCCGCATCTCGCAACAACAAATATCGTAAAATTTATGTGGTACACTTTTGAACTGGTCAAAAAATAAAAATTTGATGCCCTGGAAGGGACATACCGGTAATTTCATTTCATTTGCATAAAGTACCATAAATAATCAATGGATCAAAATCTCACAATTCTGTGTAGAAGTTTAGTGTTCCAAATTTAGCTCTACCAGATAAGGCAAACCAAATCAAAAACGGTCAAGAAATGAGGGAAAATAAGCAATTTTTTTTATTTTTGGAATAAATTTGCATAAATTACCATAATTATTTAATGGAGAACAATTTCAAAATTCTGTGTACAAGTTTAGTGTACTAAAGTTAGCTCTACGATATAAAGAAAACCAAATCAAAATCGGTCAAGAAATGAAGGAGAAGAAGCCTTTTTGTGATTTCGAATAAATTTGCATAAATAAGCATAGATAATGAATTTCACAATTCTGAGTAGAAATTTTAAATCCCCTCCTAGCCCTATCATATGAAACAATCAGAATCAAAATCGGTTGAAAAATAACGAAGAAAAAAAGCATTTTGAAAATCTTGATGTTGATGCCACAACAAAGTCTAAGTTTGTTGACCTTAAAATATGACCTTTGACCTTAACTTAATGACCTAAAATTCTGCTCACATGATCGGGGAGACTTGATAACCCTATAAGTTTTTGATGTTGACGCCGCCGTCCTCACCGGAAAAGCGGCACCTATGTCTCGCTGCTTGCTTTTGGCTACGCAGGCGAGACAAAATTGGTGCTTAAGCCCCAGTCCCATATAAAGCCGGACCAGCACGGACGAGCACGGACCACTCCGGACCATCCCGGACCATGGTCTGGGGTGATCCGGGATGGTCCGGGATGTTTTGTTAAAAAAAGTGTGATGCTTTAAAAGCTACAGTCCCATATACGTCCCGGACCGTCCCGGACCATCCCGGACCCCATCCGGGGTGATCCGGGATTCGGTCCGTGTTGACACCGTGTTGGCACCGGGGTGGTCCTGGATGGTCCTGGATGGTCCTGGGCGGTCAATAACTCACTCCCGGACTGCCACGGATCAACACGGACCGCCCCGGCGCCACTACGGATGACCCCGGACCCAACACGGTGGCTACACGGATCACCCCGGATCAAACTTTTGTCCCGGACCGTCCCGGACCACCCCGGCAGTTTTTGACCGTCAAAAACATCCGGGGTCGACTCCCGGACCGCCCAGGACCATCCCGGACCGCCCAGGACCATCCAGGACCATCCAGGACCACCCCGGTGCCAACACGGTGTCAACACGGACCGAATCCCGGATCACCCCGGATGGGGTCCGGGATGGTCCGGGACGGTCCGGGACGTATATGGGACTGTAGCTTTAGGTAGTGACTTCAATGCTATATGTACAATTAAAGATAATCTGAAAGTTTGGGAAAAACTGATCTGATCGATTCCTTAATTCTTCAAACTATATTTGATTACATTTTAGGTAAATGTAAATTATCACAAAGCAATGAATTGGCTCTATATACCATTCCAGACATTTAAGTGGTGACAGATTTTTAAAAGCCTGTCTTAATTATGTCTTAGTTTCATGGAAAACAATTGCGAAAATTCAAAAATGGTTGGGAGAATTTACTGTTATGGGGTGTCGCACAGTGACGCCTTAATAATAATACAATAATACATATGATTTATAAGGCGCCAAATCCACTTGACAGTCAAATGCTCAAGGCGCAGCTTGTGCAAAAGATGAAATACATACATGATACATTTATACAAAGTGCAATAAGAAAGGTACAGACATGAAAGGTAATGGTAATCAATTATAAGCTAAATTAAACAGATAATTCTTAAGATTGTTTTTTAACACCTCAGCAGAACTGCTATTCTTAACCCATTGAGGGAGAGTATTCCATAACGAAGGCCCAGCATGAGCGAAGGTTCGCTCCCCCCACTTTGTTTTAACCCTAGGAGTAACAAGTAAGCCAGAGTTTTGAGAACGTAGCTGTCTAGAAGGAAAGTAATGCTTAATCAAGCCGATGTTATACTGCTGAGCAGAGCCATGTATACAGTGAAATAATAGCAAAATAATCTTGAAAACAACACGTTTTTCTACGGGCAACCAATGGAGTGATTTGAGGACTGGTGTGATGTGACTGTACTTGTTGGACAGGGTCACGACACAAGCAGCAGCATTCTGTAATCTTTGTAATTTTGCGAGTAGGTTGTGAGGCGAACTAAACAAAAGGCCATTACCAAAATCCAAGCGAGAAGAAATCAAAGCATGAGTAATTTCAACGAAACTATAAATATCTTTGTGGTTTGAGAATTTTTCAGGATTTGTGGCATGTTAGAGGGTAAGTACAGTAGAAGCAGAGACGCCAAGTTCAAAGATCGGCAAAAGGTGACATTTTCATGATTCGGCGCGCGAGCGCGCATGCGAGGGTATAACACACGTATAAGGTATAGCGTTTTTTTCAAAATCTAGCGCGCGCGTCATGCGTAAGAGCATTTTCAGACCCTCGAAATTTGTGATGTCACGCCTAATGCGTGATACTTGGTAGCTCTGTAGAAGGAATATAATAAGTAACATTTCATGCAAACATTACACACTTTTTCATTAACCTTCAACAATATTACAGTGCAGAGGGGGTTTTTCAAGCACTGATTGCACAAAAACCACAAAAAGGGTACATTTTTACGCGGGGGGAGGGGGAAGGAGGCACTCAGATTAGGTTTGGACGGGGGTATGCTGCTCAAGCCTCGAAACCCCTACCCATTTTCAAGGGTCATTAAGGGGATTTTTCTTGAAGTAAAGCCAAGCCCAAAGGCTAACTTAGCTTTTCAAAAAGTACATTTTCAAAATTTTGAAAAAAAAGTACGCATGTTTAGAAATATTTTTGTTGAAAATGGGACCCATGTTTAGGGATTTTTTTGAAAAAGTGACCCAAAACTTGAGCGGCACACCCTGTAGATGTCTCAACAAAATGTGGGTAGATCTACACCCCCCCCCTGAAAATAATTTCAGAAAAGGTCAGATACACCATTACAACATTGATTAGGGTCCATTTCAGAGGTTGATGGACACTAGTGGGTTGCACTTGTGTATGAGAGTGACCCCCCCCCCCCCTCCCCTCCCGGGCCTCAACCCCTACCCCTATACATTTTTAACAAGACGTAAGACTAAGACACAGTTTTAAGTGCATGGGACTGTAGTTTCACTGTTAACCCTAGCCTTGGCAGCTTGCTAGATTGCGCGCTACACAGTATAGGCCTACATTACAGACAGTGCCACAATACCAATGCCATGCAAATTCAACAGGTGAAATAACAAAATTCTTCTCACCTGTGGATTGAAGTATTGGTAAGAATTCAAGAACAGACAATGTCAAGATGACAACCAAAGACAAAGAGCCACTGATCTCCGAGTGTCCATGACCATCATATCATGTAGAAGTTTGAAGTAATACCGTAATCCTGCCCAGTGTGTTTTTAATATAAACAAAACACCGTACTAACATACTAGTGCGCAGCGAGAGATCACGGATCGCGGAGCGCAAGCGCAGACTACATGTAGACGTCGCGTCGTTGTTTTTCGGGTATAGTACGGGTTGTGGGGGGGGGGGGGGGGGGCAGAGCACTGGTAGTGGGGCAGAGGGGTGCGGTGCGCTTGAGCTTAATTGTTTCCAAAATCGGTTCTATACAGGACCATTACCCCCTGGACAATCACCCACCGGCCAAATACCAGCGTGACAATAATTAGGAACAATACCCCCCTACGGACACGTACCCTAGGAAAATTACAATCAAAGTCTATAGTAGGACAATTACCCCCCCCCCCCCCCGTAAAATTACCTCAAGGACAACAAGGTCAAGGAAAACCAAGGACCTCTGAAGACAAAAAAAAAATACCCTGAGAAAAGTCTCCCCTCGCTAGTATATATACCGCATAAGGTCAGATTCATAGTTCACTCGCCATGATATATGCAAGCTAGCACTTTTCATCTAGAACATCTTTTGCACAAAGACATTTGTTTTAAAGGTCCAAACTGTGGAATCCTCTTTCAAACGATATTATACAGTGTAATTATTTTTATATATACATGTATGTATTTATCATTGTTTTGCGTTTAAAAATGATTTAAGTAAATTATTACTGAATAGTTTTTGTTATTGTTGTGTGTTTTTTATATGTGGATAATGATCGAAAAATTCACGTCGTCGTTGTGAATGACTCTTCCAGACCATTTCCCCTGCCCTGGGGTGTTCCTCAAGGGTCTGTCCTAGGTCCACTGGAGTTCATCCTGTATACTGGTCTGCGGTCATCTCTTCCCATCGGGACATTCATCATGTCATGTACGCTGACGACACCCAGTTGTATGTGACCATGACATCCAAGATCACGTAGGCTCTATGCATAAACTGAGCGAGTGCGTCTCCGATGTCATGTCCTGGTCTTCTTCAAATAAACTCAAGTTAAATCAATCTAAGACTGAGGTACTACACTCACCACCTCGCAGTTTAGAAGTTCTTGCAGTCTGCCGTGCTTGGATGCTGCTGGCGTTGAAATCGTACGCTTCAAAAGTAGTTCGTAACCTCGGCGTCACTGTTGATAATGTATTGAATATGAAACAACACATCAGGAATACTTGTCGGACGGCTGCCTTTGTATATCCAGGATTAGTAAACTTCGAAAATATTTGGACAGACAGTCTACAGAACATTATTGATCCACGCTTTTGTGACTTCCCATTTAGATTATTGTAACGGATTGTACTTTGGCTTACCAGAAGTAACCAGATTCCACCATTTCTCCACTCCAACGTATTCAGAACATGGCAGCCCGTCTCATTATACCAAAACCAAAATATGAACACATAACTCCTATTCTTAGATCTCTTCATTGGCTACCTATTTTAACTCGCATTCAATTTAAGATTCTTTTGTTAGTATTCAAAATTAAACATGGTTATGCTCCATCATATTTTAAACGACCTTCTCAAACCTATTGTTCCATCACGTTCATTACGGTCAACTACACATGCTAATTTCCAATACGCCCCTGGTCCCCGAAGAAATACCCGTTACGGAGATCGTACTTTTGCCATTGCAGCCCCTAAATTATGGAACAGTTTACCTATTATTATTCGTCAATCCCCATCTGTAGAGTCTTTTAAGGCAAGTTTCAGGCGCGGATCCAGAATTTTCCAATAGGGGGGGGGGGGGGGGGGGGGGGGGGGGGGGGGGGGGGGGGGGGGGGGGGGGGGGGGGGGGGGGGGGGGTGGGGGGGGGGGGGGGGGGTGGGGGGGGGGGGGGGGGGGGGGGGGGGGGGGGGGCCCGGAAATTTGAAAATTGCGCATGCCGTTTTTTTTCAACTCAACATAACAATACTGACAAGGTCATATTAGAAGCAACATACCGGTACAATTTTTTTGACATTTTCATCGAGGGGGGGGGGGGGGCTATAGCCTCTTCGTTGTACCATTCTCTACTCTTACTCCTTGTTTGAATTCAGTTTCCCCCCCTTCCCGCGCGAAGGGCGGAAGCTTTGACCTTTCATAAATTATTAGAGAAAGAAGACGATTCGTTGTACCGTTTTTTGACTCTTTGTCCTTGTCTGAATTGAGTCCCTCCCCCTCCCCCCCCCCCCCCTCCTCGAGCGAAGCGAGAAAGCTTTGACGTTTCATTAAATTATTAGTAAAAGAAGAAGATTCGTTGTACCATTCTCGACTCTTAATCCTTGTCTGAATTCAGTTGCGGCCCCCCTCCCAAGCGAAGCGCGGAAGCTTTGACATTTCATTTAATAATTAGAAAAGAAAAGACGATTCGTTGTACCGTTTTTGACTCTTTGTCCTTGTCTGAATTGAGTCCCTCCCCCCCCCCTCTCGAGCGAAGCGCGGAAGCTTTGACGTTTCATTAAATTATTAGAAAAAGAAGAAGATTCGTTGTACCATTCTCGACTCTTAATCCTTGTCTGAATTCAGTTGCGGCCCCCTCCCAAGCGAAGCGCGGAAGCTTTGACATTTCATTTAATTATTAGAGAAAAAAGGCGATTCGTTGGTCCGTTCTCCGACTCTTATTCCTTGTCTGAATTCAATCCCCCCCCCCCCCTCCCGCGCGAAGCGCGGAACCTTTGAACTTTCATTTATTATTAGAGAAAAAATACGATTTTTTGTGGTACCATTCTCGACTCTTATTCCTTGTCTGAATTCAGTCCCCCCCCCCCTCCCGCGCAAAGCGCGGAAAGCTTTGACCTTTCATTAATTATTAGAAAAAGAAGAAGATTCGTTGTACCATTCTCGACTCTTAATCCTTGTCTGAATTCAGTTGCGGCCCCCTCCCAAGCGAAGCGCGGAAGCTTTGACATTTCATTTAATTATTAGAGAAAAAAGGCGATTCGTTGGTCCGTTCTCGACTCTTATTCCTTGTCTGAATTCAATCCCCCACCCCCCCCCCCTCCCGCGCGAAGCGCGGAAGCTTTGAACTTTCATTTATTATTAGAGAAAAAAGACGATTTTTTGTGGTACCATTCTCGACTCTTATTCCTTGTCTGAATTCAGTCCCCCCCCCCCTCCCGCGCGAAGCGCGGAAAGCTTTGACCTTTCATTAATTATTAGAAAAAGAAGAAGATTCGTTGTACCATTCTCGACTCTTAATCCTTGTCTGAATTCAGTTGCGGCCCCCTCCCAAGCGAAGCGCGGAGCTTTGACATTTCATTTAATTATTAGAGAAAAAAGGCGATTCGTTTGGTCCGTTCTCGACTCTTATTCCTTGTCTGAATTCAATCCCCCACCCCCCCCCCCCTCCCGCGCGAAGCGCGGAAGCTTTGAACTTTCATTTATTATAGAGAAAAAAGACGATTTTTTGTGGTACCATTCTCGACTCTTATTCCTTGTCTGAATTCAGTCCCCCCCCCCCCTCCCGCGCGAAGCGCGGAAAGCTTTGACCTTTCATTAATTATTAGAAAAAGAAGACGATTTTTTTTGGTACCATTCTCGACTCTTATTCCTTGTCTAATTCAGCCCCCTCCGCGCGAAGCGCGGAAACTTTGACCTTTCATAGTTTAATGAAATTATTAGAGAAAGAAGACGTTCCGTTGTACCGTTCCCAACTCTTAATCCTTATTTTAATGCAGTTTCCCCCCCTCCCGCGCGAAGCGCGTGGAAGCTTTAAGTTTCATTAAATTATTAGAGAAAGAAGAGGGTTCGTTGTTCCATTCTCGACTCTTAATCCTTGTCTGAAGTCAGTTTTCCTATCGCCCGCGCGAAGCGCGGAAGCTTTGACCTTTCATAATTATTAGAGAAAGAAGAAGATTCGTTGTACCATTCTCGACTCTTAATCTTTTTCTGAATTCAGTTTTGGCCCCCCTCCCAAGCGAAGCGCGAAGCTTTGACATTTCATTTAATTATTACAGAAAGAAGACGATTCGTTGTACCGTTCTCGACTTGTCAGAATTTTCAAAAATGTTTCCTTTGTCTTCTCCTTTTATGTCCTCTTACTGCCCCTACTACCCTTGGCTACGCACCTGCTTTAAAGGGAAAATGAATAATCATGATTGTAATAGCACACAATTAGGTCAGTAGAAATGAACGGGAAAAAAGTAAAGATCTATTATATACCCCAACCATGGATAATCACAAAAACGCCCGGGAGCGTCAGATCATAGTTTTGTGTTATCGGGCGAGGGCCGGGGAGTATAGCGGGCCAAGCGAGATTTTGCAATGTTGAATGCTGAAATTATGCATTCTAGAAAATCCCTAAGCCCAATATGTACGTTCTTTCTGCTGTATTTTTTTTCGAGCTATATTTCTAAATTTCCTGGGGGACGTGTCCCCCTATCGGGCCAGGATTGCCGCCCTTTCCATGATTAATAATATTACAGTGCTTATATAGCGCCTAACACTTACTTTGTCAGAAGTCTCTAAGCGCTCTACAATAATGCAGCATAATTACCCT